CGAACCCCAGCCCCTCACAAAAGAAAAGAAAGAGTAACGGGGCTCCATAGAGCGGATTTTAGGGAGCCAATGCCACATTCAGGCTTCCTCGTGTCTTCAGAGCCGCCCGGGGGCTGTTTTTGTGCAGCAGGTTCATCCCCAGTGTCCCAGCGGGCGGGCGGCTGGCCCCTGGGATGGCAGCAGCAGCAGCGGGGCGGGGAGGCGGGTGGGCCCCAGGGGACTGGCGCTCCGAGCGCAGGCAACGAGGCGACGCGGTCCCCGCACCTCCGCGCACAGGTGAGCGGCGGCCCCGCGCGGCCCGGAAGCCCCTGCGCGCGGCCCTGGGCGCCCCCGCGGGTGGGCGGGCGGCCGCCATATCCGGGCGGCGACGGCGCCGGGCGTCTGCGCGGACGGACGGACGGACGGACGGACGGACGGAGACACCCTGCGGGCCGCTCGGGCGAGGCGAGGCGAGGGCGGCGCCGGTGAGTCCCGGGCGCTTCCGGACAGGGCAGGCGACGGTCGCCGGCCGCGAGCGATGGCGGAGGCGCGGGACGTCCGTCCGTGCCCGGCCAGGCCCTGCGCCCCGCCGCGGCCTCGGCCCGCACCGTTCAAGACGGGAGTGTCGCGGTCGCATTCAGGTGTCGCCCTCGCCCCCCCGCCCCCGGCCCGGTTTCCCCTGGGAGCGCGATGGGGTCTATCTTTGCAGAACCTGGGCCTCGCCGCGTCCCGCGCGTGGCCCCGTGGGTGTCCCGGGTTCTCTGCGGCCCTGGACAGCCGCGTCCATCCCCGGCCTGGCGTGCGCGTGCACCGTGCCGTGGTTTTTCTCAATTGTTAGCTGTTAGAAAAAAAAAAAAAAAAACCCTAAGCCCTGTTGGGTCTGGTTTTTTGGCCATGATTATTTGTTTTAAATGTATCCCTCTGGCCGGGCACGGTGGCTCGTGCCTGTAAAGCCCAGCTACGGGTGGAGATCGTGGTTGGAGGCAGCCCTGGTAAAAAGTTAGCAAGACCCCATCTCAGTAGGTCAGGTGTGGTGGCTGCACCTGCTGTCCCAGCCGTGCGGGAGGCATAGGTAGGAGGATGGTGGTCCCAGGTCTCCTGGGCAAAGAAGAAAAAGAAACGAGAGAACCTATTCAAAAAATGGCTGAAATGAAAAAGGACTGGTGGGGCGGCTCCCGTGGTAGAGTGCCCGCCTACCAAGTGCAAGGCCCTGAGTTCAAATTCCAGTACTGCCAAAAAATAAATAAATCCCGATAAAGCTTTGTGATATCCACTGCAGAATGGCCCTTAGAAAGAAAAGTTATTTTTGTCCTTATAATAAGTAGCATTTGGGGCTTGTGAGACTGCTGGAACCCACCCCCCACGCCGGGGGCTGGGCACAAGGTGTCAACGCTGTTGGATAGTGGATCGACTTGCCTGTAGGGCTGGCCTTCCCAGGAACTTTTGCTGAAAAGGCAACTGAGCACCTCAGTACTTTTTAAGCTAACTTAAATCCCTGGACAAATCAGTATGGTTAAACCTAAGTTAAGGGAAAGTTCATGCTGGGGTCAGTGACTAGTGGAAATATTTCAGTGTTTGAGTCATGCCCTGAAACATGGGTGTTGGGGTTGCTAGGAAAGGGTTTTCAAAGCTGATGTTGCTATGTGAGCCAACAGATACCCCAGAAGCTCTCTTTGAAGACCTGTGAAATGTTCCAAGTGTAACACTGTCATCATCAGTGAAAGTGAGCAGAATGTGTCTGTTCATCCTTTTTGTTTTAAAATCTCCCAAAGGAAACTTTTCAGCTGGTGGAGTGGCTCAAGTAGTAGAGTGCCTGCCCAGTAAGTGTAAGGCCCTGAGGTCAAATGCCACTGCTGACAAAAAGTTAAAATATAAAAACATTTCCACTTCTCAGTTGGATCCCTTAATTTGGACATTCAGTGTAGGTAGAAGACTTTAAAAATGATAGCTAATCCATTCCTTTCTTTGAAGTTCCTGTAGACCAAAGCCTGCCGTTCCACCTTGGGCAGGATAGGACCCTTCCTCTGTGGGTCTCTCCTGTGCTGGTTCCCCTGACAAGGACCCTCCCATTACTGTACTAAGATCATTCTGGGGTCCTCCAAGTTCCTTACTCTGAGCTAGTGCCCAGCTCAGGGCCCGGCACTTAAGTGCTGGATAACTGCTGGTATCTTGGAATATGATATGTGTTTATTAAATTGAGTTCACAACTTAAAGGTCTATGTGTGACAGCTATTTCTCATTCAAATAAGTAGAAATTTGGGACAGGAATAGATAAGGTCACTTGGTTAAGGCAAAATCATATTCCAAGAGACACTACCAACAGGGCACCTAGGTTTGGGGTTGTTTGTTGTTTGTTTCTTGGTGGAACTGGGGTTTGAACTCGGCTTCATGCTTGCAAAGCAGGCACTCTACTGCTTGAGCCACTCTGCCAGCCCATTTTGCTTTGGAGATACATTCTCTCCGGACTGGCCTCAAACTGCAGTCCTCCTGATCTCAGCCTCCCAAGCATCGAGGTCTTTTTTTCTTTTTAAACAACTTTACTGATACAACTCACATACAATCTAATTCACCCATTTACGGTGTACAATTTTTATAGTGCATTATTTTTTCAGTTATTGTAAATATATGTGTAACATTAATTTACCAGTTTTAAGTGTCCGTTCCAGTGGCATTAGTACAAACCTCTTCATTATTTCCAAAACTTCACCACTAAATACAATCACTGCCATCAGTAAGCAACACTTGCCTTCCTCCTTTTCCCATTCCCTGGTAACCGCTGATCTACTTCCTGTTCATGAATTTACCTACCGTAGCCATTTCATGGAATCATACAGTACTTTCCACTCTTCTGGCCTGTTTTACTTAGCATGATGTTTTCAAAGTTCTCATTACACCATATATCAAAATTCTATTTCCTTTTTTGGCTGTATAATATTCCTTTGTGTGTATATACTACATTGTGTTTATCCATTCTTACACTTATAGACACTTGGGCTGTTTCCACATTTTCAATATTGAAATAATACTGCAATAAACATTGCTGGGCCTACCTCTCACCTAAATCTCAATCTCAATTTTATTTCAAGTTTCCCTAAAAGACTTTCCAGTGAGCATGTTTTTATGTGCATGAAATTAACTAATGACTGATTTTAAATTGTTTTCCCTGATCTAAATAGCTAAAAAGAGAAAAGAGAGAGATGTCAGTCTACTAGTGACTCATATAGCTTTTAAGGTAGCAAGTGTGAGGCCCTGAGTTCAAACCCCTGTACTGCATTAAAAAAAAAAGTAAATTCTGCTCTGAGCCAGGAGTACTTTCTGGCTGGACTCCAATTAAATTTTAAGGTGCTGAGATTGAAATTAAGTATGTAAGGTGACAGAGGTCACAAGATTAACCCAGAAGCAAAATTGGTTTGGGACATTTTTCCTAAGCATCACGAGCTTTGTTGATGGGCTCTTTAAGATGGGACCAAGTGGGAATTTTCTTTACTTAAAGTGTGTTATTGGGGTCTGACACAGCCTTGTTAGAAAGCTGACAGGTGATAAGAGCCAGGAACAGCAGTGGGGGTGGCGTTTTGGTGGCTGTCTTGCTTGTTACTTTGACTTCCTCACAATGGAGGAGAGAGGCTAGGCAAGGTGATCAGTCTCATTGTTTTCCAATGCTGAAAATTGTATGACTCTCCTGTGTTTGGTTCTGTTATAATACAGTGCTTGCTTTCATCCTTGCATAGAAAGCACTTTTTTCAATTAATCTCTGCCTTTAAAACCAGTACAAGATTTGATGCTTTGCGGCCTTTTACAAGCCAAATACGATATGAAGGTTCCCAGTAATAATTACAAAAATGTTTACAGTTATTATTTTTTAAAAGATTAAGTTTTTTTGCTTAAAATAATGGATAATAGACAAAATTTTAAATACTACTAACTTTGTAGTAAGGCAACCTTTTCCTTATTCAGTCACGTAGGTAAACAGCACAGAGAGAAATATAACTGTATTTTGATTAGTAAACTTGTGATTAAGAAGGACCATCAGTTTTGATACATACAGTGACAAGTAGAATCCAGGTTGCTCCAGTGCTTACCCTGACCATCAGATATACTTTCCTCCTAACTATGATGAACGCTATCAACTAGTGAAGAGTGAAAAATTGCTCCAGGCATGGTGGCTCACATCTGTAATCCCAGCTGCTCTGGAAGCAGAGACTGGGAGGATTGTAGTTTGAGGCCAACAAGAGAACAAAAGTTAGGGTGACCCCATCTTAACAAAATAAGCCAGATGGGCAATAGATAGCAGGATCATGGCTTAGGTCACCCAGGCTAAAACATGAGAGGCTATCTTAAAAACAAAAACAAAAAAATAAAGCAAAAAAGGGGGTGGGGGCATGACTGAAGTGTTACAATGCCTGCCTAGATATCCCCGACTTCAAACATCAGTACCCCTCTCCACAAAATTGCCAGTTTTTAGGTAGTCCATGAAAAAATGTTGAATATATGAAATGTTGGTAGTTTGAAGAAACGTTTTAAAATAAAATGTAATCTTGGTCTCTAATTTCAACTCCAACTCTCTGTGTTGTCTTTTATACATCTATATGAAAAGGCATTATAATTAAAATGGTCCCATGTCTTGTCTTAGTTGGACTTAGTAATGTTTGAAGTTCCTTATAACAGAAAATAGGGCAATCTTTTCAGATCTGAATGCTGCATTACTGACCTTTGAGAATCTCTGAAAGATGTAAAGCAAAATTTGAGCGACATCCCTAAGTCCTCTCTGATTTGCAAAGAATGCCTTGTCAAACTTTATGGTGTGCTATCTGGTTTCTTCTGTTGCTCTCAGTAGAATTCTTCTTGTTTCCTTTCTGTCTTTACAGTTACAGGATACTCTGCGTTTTCATAGGAAATATCCTAGGACATCTTAAGACAGGAAAATTCACAAATTTATATGGTACTTGTTAAAAAGGATTTATTTTAGCTATGAATTGATTTGGTTTTCACTCTAAAATTCTTATCAGTGGCCCACTGGATTATTTTAGGGGAACTAAGATCTTTAATGTTGTTTTTAATAATCTGTGACCTCTGTTTCCAGGCAGAGAGAGTGGGCAAGCTCCACCTCCCATTTTTAGTGAAGAGAGTTTGTACCCTTGGGCAGTTACAGGAAGAGCACCTTTTGCCTGTTGAGGACAGGGCTAAAACTAGGGTGGATGTTGAAAGCAAAAATTAGTTGAATTTATTACATTGAGGGGGGTGGTAATCACAGTCTTCTCACATGGCAGTTCCCTATACATGTGAAAATATGTGCACTTCTGTATTTTTGAAATCTAACTAGCACCGCAGCCCAGGTACTGTTGAGTTAGTGACATTAGTAAAGGACATGGGCTTAAGTGAGTGAGGAAATTCAGTTTGGACTTGAGACGGAGCCAGCACACTCCTGCTGCGTCCTGCAGACTCACTGTTTCTTTCATCTTTGAGCCTTCTAAAATGCACTGTAAGGGTTGCATTGACACTTCCAGAAGCAGCAGCCTGGTGTTTATGTGCTCCCTGAAGCATTGCTGCAAACCTTTAGGGCCCTGTGCTTTACTTTGAGAAGCAGGGGACCCAAAGGATCTCCTAGGATGCTTGCAGCTCCAATGTGATGTAATATTTGAAATGACCCAGCGTTTATTCCCTAGTCTTAAGAAATGATACTTTTAAGGGCTGGCAGAGTAGCTCAAGTGGTGAGCACCTGCCTACCAATTGTGAGGCACTGAGTTCAAACCCCAGTACTATAAAAAAAAAGGATACTGTTAAGAAATTATAGATCTGTAACAGAAAATAGGGTTGGTTGATTTGCATGATCAAATCTCTTTCTCTGAAAATTAAATATTGCAGTTCAGTTGTGTGTAACTGTTTCATCAGAAGCTGCATGCAATTTCAGAACTGGATTGCAAAGTTAGAAAAACGCTTTGTAGATGTTCTCTGTTGCTCTCAGTCTTTCTTTGCTGCAATTCTGCTTTTTTCTTTCCTGGCTGCTAATTGGATTAAAGACTGTTCTGCCAACCATGGCATCTGGAGATGACAGTCCCATCTTTGAAGATGATGAAAGGTAAATGTCCTGCACTGTAATAAAACTGTGGCCTTTGAAAGTTTCAGGTTGTCACGATCACTCAGAAGAGTACCCAGTCTCCTCAGTTAATGACACGTTTTGAAGCCTTGCGGAACGCATGTTCCCTTTCATGATTTAGAGAAGGGTAGGGAGTGGCTGCTGGAGGTGGCCACCTTGAGCATGGCGTCCTCTCCATGGAGCCTTGATGTGAGTCTCCAGATCCCTCTCAGCACAAATTCTTGACAACCTCTTCAAAATGAAACGAAGTCCACATACCATTCCTGATTTAGGCATACAGAGGAGATGAGAATGAACAAAGAGGAGGATGTAAGGACCACAGCTGCCATGTCTCAGATCAGTAGTCTGTCAGTGTCAAAGCACTATATATTGCTACATGCAGTGTGTCATCCACATAGCATACAGGGTGACTTATATATTTAAAATGTTAGCATAAAATATGTTTAAATTGTGCCAAAAATTTTGACAAACCTGAATCCTTTATTTTTAATGAGATTTCCTATAATGCCAAGAATTACTGTTTTCAAACATCTTTGTATTATTTTTATGTCTAGTTTTAGTATAATAAATTAGAACCCTTTGGCTGCTGCTGTTGTAGCAAATCTCTAGTCATTAGTTTAGTGTGAAGAGTTTGGAGCATTCTTGTTTTGAAGTGATGAGAACCAAGAAAGAAACCTCATTAAATTCTGGGCTTTGAACATGTGGGGGGCCGGTTAGGAGCAGACACTTCACTGACCTTTCCTTGCCTAAACCACAGCCTCACCTAGAATATGGTCCAGGATAAACTGGTAGATCCTAAATCCTATTAGTAGTAAGGTGACTTTGGAATTACTAGGCTGTATACCCCTACACAATAGTTGTCTCTTGAGCGAAGAGTAACTAAGAGGCAGAAACAGTTACGTGTGCTGTGAGTAGGATTTCTTAGGAAGTACCATTTTAGCATGCTGTAATTGTAGAGCCTTTAGAAATCTAGTGTTCCTCATCTTGGAAGGATTAACTGGTTATTCTGTAATTGTAGAGCCTTTAGAAGTCTACTGTTCCTCATCTGGTTATTCTGTTGCTGTTTGGGCCCATTATAATGACTTTGTTTTATTCCTTTAGCCCTCCTTACAGCATGGAAAGGATGCTAGATCTTGTAGCTGTTTGGGACGTTGCTTTAAGTGATGGAGTTCACAAGATTGAATTTGAGCACGGGACAACAACAGGCAAACGAGTAGTATATGTAGATGGGAAGGTAGGAAACGGGCTACTTTGTAAAACTTGCTTACAGAGAAGCTTGAGTTTGTTATTCTCGCTTATTCATAAGTGGGGAGCACTTTTCAGACTGTGGTTTTCTTTATGGTTTTGGCCTACAGCATTTTGTTGTACTAAACAAACTGACAATAATTAAAGCATTCCAAGACTATGACATTTAACATTTAAACTTAGAATGACTATTTTCTAAAACCTTCACAACATGAAGACAGACATTTTGATGATGTTGTCATTGGTTACTTTGAAATTTTACAGTATTTCTGTATTTTTGAAATTTTACAATAATTCTAACATTAAGTGTTTAAACTTTTGTATTTACTTACCTAGGAAAAGATAAGAAGAGAATGGATGTTCAAATTAGTGGGCAAAGAGACCTTCTGCGTTGGAGCCTCCGACACAAAGGCAACCATAAACATAGATGCTATCAGTGGTTTTGCTTATGAATACACTCTGGAAGTCAACGGGAAGAGCCTCAAGAAGTACATGGAAAGCAGATCGAGGACTACCAACACGTGGGTACTGCACTTGGATGGTGAGGATGTTAGAGTTGTGCTGGGTAAGTTAGCAATGTATCTAAAGAATTGATTGACTTTATGAGGCCATTCAGACTTGGGAGCCTTGAATAGCAGAGGAGATTTAAGTGCAGCTGTGTTTTTAGTGCGTTCTCTGTGAATGGGCATTCACTTAGCCCACTGTTGTACAGAGGGTATTTTAGAGCCAGGTTTGATCCGGATGGATTGGAGGATTATAAACATAGGCTAAAGAAAAGTAGTATTAATGTAACATTTGTTATTATTTGGTATTTCTCTTCATAAATCCATATTAAACGCTGGGGATGTAACATGGTAGTAGAACACTTGCCTGTATATGCAGGCCTAGGTTTAATCCCTAGCACCACCAGAGTGGGGAGAAAAAGCCAGGCAGCCTGGTTTACATACAGAGATCCTGGCTTGAGAAAACAATTTTAGTCGGGCATGATAGGACATGCCTGTAATCCCAACATTTGAGAGTCTGAGGCAAGAGGATCCAGAGTTCACTAAATAGCCACTGGGTATTTAGTGAGACAATCTCGAAAAACCAAAAGTAGGTGCTGTGGCTCAAGCCTGTAATCCTTGCTACCTGCGAGGTGGAGATAAGGAGGATCCAAGGTTCAAGGCCAGTGGGAATAGGGGTGAGTTCACAGGACCCCACCTCAACCTGGCTAGGCACTGTGGTGTGTGAGCTTGGCTGTACCAATAAACACAAATAGGACTATTACAGGCCATGCTGGCCTTGGCATAAAGTAAGACCCTGTCTCAGAAAATAGCCAGGACAAAAAGGGCTGAGCATGGTTCAGATGGCAGAGCACCTGCCAAATGAGTGCAAGGCCCTGAGTTCATCCCCCAGCACTGCCAAAATAAATAAATAAGTCTTTAAAAGCAGTTATAAATTTAAGATTCATCAGTAAGAAGAATTTTCTCTAGGGAGCAATAGATGTAGGCTACATTACATCAAAATAGTAACAGTTGAGATAAAGTAGATTCTTTTTCCTTATTTGGTTATACTGGGGGTGAGCTTCATGCTTGCTAGGTAGGCACTCTTACCATTTAGCCACTCTGCCAGCTCTTTTTTGTGTGTTGGTTATTTTCGAGATAGGGTCTCAAGAACTATTTGCCCAGGCTGGTTTTGAACTCCTGAGTAGCCAGGATTACAGGCATGAGTCACCCTCACCCAGCAAATTTTTTATAATAACCTATTCTTTCTGTCTACTCCTAGTATTTCCTGCTTCTCCTATCACTAAATTAAGGCTGATCATCTTATTAATCCACTACTTACGCAATGCTAGCCAGTGGACCAGCCACTGAGGACACAGTTAAGCTGTATGCTAGCAAATACCTTCTTTAAATGAAAGTTCTGTAGGTTTTGCCAGTTTTCAGGTTACTGCCTGAAAATCCCTCCTGCTCTATTTTTTCATCCTTTCCCTGCTTCCCCTCCCTGGTCTTTTCACTGGCGCTATGTTTTGCCTTTTCCAGAATGCAATACAGTCATACGGTATAAAGCCTTTCATACTAACTCCTTTCACTCAGCAGTATAGTTTGTTTCCTCCTGTCTTGCCCAGGGATACTGCTGGTTAACACGAAAACTGGAACCCTGACCTCAAAGACCAGTACATTCTTTTCCACCATCCCAAGAGACAAGGCATCTAAGGGGACTGAAGACAGTGTTGGTTGGCATTCTTAGGTCTGGTCTTGGCTCCACTGGGAACACTATGGGAGAAATATGAAGAAGCAAAAGGAAAGTAAGAAGCAGCAGCTTCTTATGAAGGAGGAAATTTTCTTTCTGTTCTGAAAACTTTCACTTCTCTGAAAGCCTTCAAAGGGCACAGCTGCTCAGGACTCACCTGTGGAATCCCAGCAGTTGGTCACAAGGGCTGAGGGACTCTTCAGGCAGGCAGAAGAGAGGCTCCCAGCTGAACGTGCTCCTGGCCCTCCCATGATGCATCCAGCCCATGCCTGAGTCATAACAGAGTTGACATTTTGTCATATAGATAAGTTCTTTCATCACATATTATTTTGAAAATCAAAATGTATTTTAAAAAGAAGATACATTGAGAGCTAGGCATGCTGGCACATACCTGTAATCCCAGCACTCCAGAAGTGGAGGCAGAAAGATCAGAGAGTTTGAGGCCAACCTGCCCTACACAGTGAGTTCAAGGCCAGCCTGATATGGAGTGAAACCCTGTCTCACAAAAACAAGGGCTGGGCTGAGGATATAACTCAAGTGCTAGAGTGCTTGGTGAAGCCCTAGGTTCAATGCCCAGTACATCCATCAGTCAATCAACAAAAGAAAGAAAGAGAAGAAAGGACATAACTCAGTGTAGACTTCTTGTCCAGCACACGCAAGGTCATGGCTTTGATCTCTCCAGCAAGCCAAAAAAAAAAAAAAGATACATTGAAAAGCTTTGCTTCCATCTGGGTTCCCATGTATCCTATCTCTCTCTGTGTTGTCCAGGCTGCCCTTGAACTGCTGGACCCTGGTGATCCTTCTGTCACAGCCTCCCAAAGATAACCGCTTTTAGTAGTGTTCTACTATTTCTTTATTCAGATTCAAGCAAATACAAATAATTTATTACCACTGTATTTATAAAATCATTTTATCCAGTTAGTATATTCTAAAGGTCTTTTTAGGTAGTACGAACTTTCCCATTCCTTCTAACTGCACAGTAAACTTCAATAGTAAATAGTTCATTCCCAACTGATGGGTACCTGTTCCTCTAAGAACCTAGTGCCCATCCTATTTTAGTGCAAATTCCTACAAGTGAAAGGTAAGATTTCTTGGTCACTGACTTCTGCCACCGGGGCACTACTTCTGGCAAGTTCTCCAACAATACGTGTTGCTGAACTTGCATTTCTTGGTGTTGTGAGGGTGAAAAGTGGTATGTCAGTGTTGTTTCTAGTTTTGCCCTTTTTAGAATTGAGGTTGAGCATCTGTTCATGCGTTTGTTACTTTTGTTTCTTTTTTGGGTGATGACTGTCTGTATCCTTGCCTCCCATTTTCTTTGGGTGGTTCTTCTCTTTCTTCCTTGATTTCCAGGAGTCTTTTTTATTAGCAAAACAACCTTTTGTTGATGCTGTTTCAACTTTTTCCCCAGTTTGTCATTTGTTACATGAATTTGCTTATGTGTGTGCATGGCTATTTTCAGTTGCAAATTTTTTTTCCTTTTTTATGTAGTCAGATTTAGTCCATTTTTCTTTGTGGCTTTTGGATTAGCAGTGCTCCCTAGTGGCATGCTAATTAATAGTCTATCAGAGAACACCTGAGTGCATGCACCTGCTCAGTAAGCACCTGACACAATGCTTCATTACCATTGTAGTTTATCTTTTTAGCCCTGTGCATTCAGACTCGTGTGGGCATAAACTGAGCTTCCCTGCTTCTGTGCCCATGAGTACATCCCCCTCAGACTGCCTTTGGGTGACTCCTGCCCGTACCTCCTGCCACCTCTGCCTTTTCATGTTTCACTCAGCTGTCTTATAAGTTTGTCTCTACTCTTAAGTGAGGTGCCCATCTGGAGATGTGGAGGAAAGAAGCCTCTTTGCACCTGCCCTGGGCACAGATGGCCTGCCTTGTCAACCCTGACCATGGCCTCAGATTTCATCTCCAGGCAGACCTTTGCCCTGGACTCCTTGTGCACATGCAACTCACAAACACAAGTCCTCTCTCCTCCTCTTCTGGCTGCTTGAATGCAGTCTTCTCTCTTGCTACTCCTAGGACACTAATGTGCACAAGGGGTGTTGGGGACTTACGTTCCCTGAGGCGAGTTGTGGCAAGTTAGCTGATGCATTAGTATTGTGGCTGCATTTTTGTTCTGTGTCCCCTGTTGTATGATCTACCAGCTAAACTGCTTTTTTCCTTATGATTGAATAATTTTCCCAAAGTGAGATCATTATAAACATGAATATGGACTATTGTACTATCTATCTAGTAAGACTAAGTTTCTAAACTTGACATACTGTCTGCCCTGTCTGAACCCCAGAGCAGCTTGTTTTGGTCGTCTTTGTGCCAGCACCACCTTCCAGGGTCAGTGAGCCGCTGACGTTAAAGAACATTCTATAAGGAGAGACCTCTCACATTCCTTTTGTGTGCACCCCCTTTAAAGATTGTCCCTAGGGATTTATTTTAATAACACTTCATCAAATGTATTAGGACCATGATACCCTCTGAAAAGATTATTTTCCTTCATCTTGATTTCATCTATGAACAAAAACTTTCTTCAACTTTTAGGAGTTTCAAAACTATGACAAGTGTTAGGTTTAGAAGGTTAGTGGAATTTAGAAATATAGTGTATCAGCCTTTTCCTAAACCAATAGTTACAAAAAGCTGACTTTAAGTCCCAGAGTTATAACTTTTAAATTGTGTTACTTTTACAGAAAAAGACACAATGGATGTGTGGTGCAATGGCAAGAAAATGGAGACAGCAGTAAGTTGACCTGTGATTCTTCTCAGCGTCATGTGTTTCGTGTCGTGTGTGCATGGTGTTTAAGTGATCACTGCGATGCTCCGCAGTTCTTAGGGCTGGAACCTTTTTCTTTTTTCTCTTTTTTTTTTTTTTTGGACAGGGTCATATTTTTTGGATAGGGTCATGTTATGTAGGCCAAGATGGCCTTGAATTAACATTCCTCCTGATCTGAAAATCTTTCCCAGACAGTTCATGGGGCAGTGAGTTTGGAAACAACCCCACATTCCACCCTGCCTCTCCTGGCCCAGGTTCTTATTCTAAAGAAGCCCCCACTCCACCTTAGGACTGGGGGTGTGGCACAGACAGCAGAGTGCCTGCCTAGCAAGTGTGATGTCTTGGCTTCCCCAGGGCTGGTGTCCTCCTGTGGTTATCCATGTGAAATAATGATTTATACCACTGCGTCTCGAAATCACCTGAGATCTTGTTAAAGTGCAAACATTTCCCTCAGTGCTACTGGTGCTGCTGGCCCAGGGCACGCTGGAGTAGGAGGCTGCTTGGATGTGCTTTTCTGAAAGTGAGGTTTCTGAAGAAGTAGTGATGCACACAATTTCAAAGGACACAAAGGCTGACAGGAGCTTGCACTGTCACAAACACCAGAAGACAAGTAAGGAGGGGGAGGCCAGGCACACTGAGGTCCCTCCAGGCTCCAGTGGCCTCGGCTTTTGCTGTCGCTGTTGGGTGCTTGCACAGCTTAGGCTGAGAGCTGGAGTGAATGTCAAGCAGGAGAGAACAAGCACAGGTGTGCCTGGGGGAGAGGAAGCGGAGGAGGCTCCCTGGGAGGCGGGGGTCTCTTGTCTGGTGCAGAGTTCACGCGCCTAAGGGAGCATTGTCCCTGGTGTCCGCTGTCCTCCAGGTGGGACCATTAGACCTGAGGTTGGTCACAGGCTGTCTTCTCTGGTCATGTTTTGCTGTTGTAAAAGTACTTACCATAGGCACAGGATGGCGAGGCAGGGGCTTGGAGGACAGGAGGTCTGAGGTGAACTTGGTCAGCTGACACCTACAACCAGCTTGGTCTCATAGCTAGATGTTTCTGGAGTTGCCAGGGTCAGAAATCCAAAGTTTACAAAGATGAATGCTTTTTTGTTCCTTAATCCTGGGAAAGTTTACCTGGGTCACTCAAGATTCACCCCCACCCACCCCCACCCCCGTGCTTAAGCTCCTCTCTGAATTTAAGCCTGCTGACAGAGGCTTCTGTTATGCAAGGCTTGGAGAGCCTCCTGTGGCCAGCACCTTTGTGACAGCTGCACACCATGAACTGATGTGAGCCCAGAACCTGGCCTCGTGGTCCTTCCTGTCTTTCCTTCCCTGGAATTCTCGGATGGAGAACCAGCACTTTTGGATCACATTCCCTCCCACTCAAGGAATTCTGCAGGCCAGATGTTAAGGAGGATGCTGTCTGTGGTATAAAGAATGTGCTTCTAAGAGCTGCCGTGTAGCACAGGGAGAGCACTTGCCTAGCACATGGAAGGCCCTGGGCTCCAGCTCTACCACTGCAAAAAGAAAAAAGTGGTTTTAAATAAAAAAAAACAGTGATCATCCCCAGTGTCTTTATCCCTTAGTAATTGACAGGAAACCACAATGTGTGGAAAACAGCTTTTTCTAGCCCAGTCACTTTTCATTGTAACTACCCCCTAGCTGCAGGGCAGCTCCATGACCTGGCAGTCTGCCCACCAGTACACACATGCAGCAAACACACTTGCCTATTTTCTCGTGTTTATTTTTACCACAAAGCATTATGACCAAAATTATATACTTATCAAATTGCCAAGAAGCAACTTACTGGATTGTGTTGTCCACCCCTTGCCCTGCACTCCACAGGCTTTTTTTCAAGGCCCAGTATAAAAGGGGCAGAACTGTGCCTTAGAGAGCAGCTCATGCTGGGTTCAGAGCCATGGGCAGCACTGCGCAGAGCAGAAGAAAGCTGCACTTTCTTTGTTGAATTATGGTAACTACGGGGCCTTTCTCTGTGTGCTTTGGCCTTCATGGTGCTCACAGCCAAGTTTTAAGGCTGATGGTGGTTTCTTTACTTTCTGGCTTAGTTTATTTTTATTCTCTAAGCCTCTCCTTCCTTCCTTTTCTGTGCTGCTTGCTCCTATCTTTTTACTCTAGATCAGTAGAAATACAGTGAGCCACGAGTAGGGGCCTTAGATGTAATTTTAACTTTTTGAATAGCCACACTAGAAAAATTCAAGGGGAATTACTTTTAATAATATATTTGATTAAAATCGGCATATCAAAACTATTATCATTTAACATGGTATCAACAAAAGATGTAATTAGTTATTTCACGTTCTTTGTTTCATACTACATCTTCCAAGTCCTATGTATAATTCACACTTAAGCAGTGTGTCTCACTTCGGCCTAGTCACGTTTTCGGCGCTCAGTAGGTCAGTAGCGTCTGGTTTAAGTGGCTGTACGTTGTTATAAGGTATTATTGTACCTTGAAGAATCAGATACTCAGAGTGGTCAAGAACTCTAGTCCCTTACAGACAGAGGCCTTCAGCAGGGTTTTTAACTACCCTGTCCCTCAGTGTCCTCCTCTATGAGAGGGAATAGTAACAGCGCTTCTAGCAGGGCTGTTGTGAAGCTACAGTGAAGTAATGCAATAAACCGTTCCGGGTATATTGAGAGCAACTAAGAACAGCTTCTTATGCTCATCACCTTTGATTTTGGAAACAGCCTGCGCTGTGTAGACACAGGGCTATGAAGTGCACTTGGATTCTTCAGAACCAAGGGATCGAAAGAGGCTTTCGGTCCATAACGGACACAAGAAAGCACTCGTACATTTGGTTTTACCTAGCGTGTTATCTCAGCAGACTCCCAGGACTTCAGGTGGTGGTAGTGCTGGAAGCAGGAGACGCGCTGGACACTGAGCCCTCTTCCTTTGCTGTGCTAGGGTGAGTTTGTAGACGACGGGACTGAGACACACTTCAGCGTCGGGGACCACGACTGTTACATTAAGGCTGTCAGCAGCGGGAGACGGAAAGAAGGGATCATTCACACACTCATTGTAGACAATCGAGAGATCCCAGAGGCTCTTGAGTGACTTCTTGTTCACGAATTTATTTCAAGAAGTGAGGTCAGGACTTTGCAAATTACTGTGGTAATTAAATACATTCAATATGTACTTATCAGTACATTTAGTCTGCAGTGTTTTTATTTTGTAGTTATTGGAAACTAATATTCCCATGGTCAGAACAAATTATGTGCAACCATAAAAATTACAGTTTATTTTTAAAATAATGTAAAATACTTTAAAGCTAAATGGAAAATAAAATATGGACCAAAATCACTAGTGTTTCCCAACAGTAACTCTTACCATAATAAACACTGCGAAATAAAATTGGTGTGGTCTGATGTGTGGTCTCACAAATGCACATGGGGTCATATATTTGTCATCTGTGCACACAGGTGACCATTTTTTCTTTAATGGCATCCTACTCTCCTGTCTTGATGAATTCTTTAACCAACCAGTGGCTCTGAAATCCACAGTGGTCACTTCCTGAGAAGTTGGATTTCACAGTCATGGTTTCTAGGCAGCTTGTAACATGCAACTCAAGAAGTCAGTACTAAATGACACGCTTCTCATTATGTGAGATTACGCGATTCGTTGAATTGTGCCTCACCCAAAGGTAATACACCACCTGGACCCGCAAATGTAACCTTATTTGGAGTAAGAATCTTTGGAAGCCACCAAAGCTAGAAGAGGCGACGAAGACTTTTCCTGTAGGGCCTTCATGGGGGTGGTCCTGCCAGCAGCTTGATTTCAGCCCTCCAGAACCTGAGATAATCCATTTCTGAGGTTTTGAGCCACCAAGTTTGGAGTCATTTGTTATGGCAGGTGTTGGGAGACTGTTATAGTTGTTTATCCCCAAGTGGATGTCATATAATAAAATCTGAGCCACTATTATATTTTTAAATGAATTGTTTAAGATCTGGGTCTTAATTCTTCTAGACTGCTGTAATAAGCTGTTATAAACTGAAATGCTTATAAATAATGGAAATTTATTTCTCACCGTTCTGGAAGCTGGGAAGTCTTCTGAAAGCAAGGCACTGGCAAATCTGGTATTGGTAGAGACCCTTGAAAGGAGGACAAAAATTACTCGCCATCAACAGTGTAATGTACACTTGTAGCATCCAGTCAAAACTTACTAGTTAGGCTTGAAGCATCTAACCAGGAGAAAATTTAGCCAATAGAAACAATAAGAAATTACAGGGTTGATGGACATGGATATTAAGTTACTATGGTTTCATTCAATTATTTAGGAAAAGCACAGTGGGACACATAGGACAATATCCTATGTGATTATGAAAATAAAAATTGAGACGGGGGAGAAGGGATAAAGGAGAGTGTTGGAGGGGTGAATTCAACCGTGATATATTGTAAGCTCTTTGGTAAGTGTTACAATGTATCTTCAGTACAAAATAACATGATAATAAAAAATTAAGACAGAATGAACTCACAGGCTGAAGTCTTGCTTGGAAGGAAAAAGGGGCTGGAGAGAAGGGGACAGCACTGCAGGAGATTCAGGCCCCGCCCAACAGAGAAAAGAGCAGACACCCTATTCATATGCTGGAGTGGTCCCAGGTGGTATTTTTAAGAAATCTCTTGTGGTTTAAGGAGACTGTCCTATGTAAGATACAACTCAGTGGGCAGTTTGTCTTTGGAGACATCCTGGCATTACCCTATACCTGGTAGGATTGTTTTCTCTTGTGATAAGGGATAAGAGATAGGCACATTTCAAGTATACACTGTGAACAAGGGAAAAGAGAAACTTGATAATGAACAGGTTTATGGATTCAGGGCATGAGAACCTATCCTCTTTTTGTCCCCAGGAAGGTCCTTATTTCATCTATTCCAGGGAGAGAAAGAAAACATGTAAAAAGAATAAAATGAGGGCCAGCATGGTGGCCCATGCCTGTAATCTCAGATACTCAGGAGACAGAGTTTGGAAGGACTGCAGTTTGAGGCCAGCCTGGGAGAAAAAAAAAAAAAATCAGACCCCATCTCCATCAATATGCCAGGTGTAGCACACACCTGTGATTGCAGGCTGTAAGTATGAGGATTGTAGTTCAAGGCCAACTCCTAGCAAGAAGTACGAGACTCTACCTGAAAAATAGCTAAATCAAAAAGGGCTGGGGGTACAGCTCAAGTGGTAGAGTACCTGCCTAGCAATCGGAGGTCCTGAGTTCAAATTCCAGTATTGCCCTCTATCCTCCCCACCATCAAGATACAATGGAATATCTAGAGATATAAAATAGAATATCTGGCATGAAAAAGTCACAGAATACAATTAATAGATTAGACACTGCAAAAAAAATTTAGTGATTGTTAAAGAGTATCAATAAAAAAACTACCTAAAATGAAACACAGGCAAGTGGAAAAACTGAAATGCATTTCAGTGACCTGTAGGCCACTGAGCTGTGAGAAGGCCGTGAAATTGGAATCACAGAAAGAGATGGTGGCAGAGCAAACCTTTGGATATAATGATCGAATTGTCCAAATTTAGGAAAAATTTAAGTATACAGAATAAGCAGGAAAAACATGAAGAAAATTTCACCGAGTCACAGGAAGACGTATGTTAGCAATATCAGAAATGAAAAAGGCCATCGATTTACATCTACTAACAGTGAGAGGACGAGGGAGTACTATGACAGCTTTGAGCCAATACGATAAAAAATAAAAGCAAACTCTTAGAAGATTCAAAGTATTTAACTGACTCAAAGAGAAACAGAAAACCTAAATAAGCCATACATCAGTTTTTAAAATGCAATTATAATTTTAAGTGATAACCACAAGAAGATTCAAATGTCTTTTCTGTGAACTCATTATGCTTTTAAGGACCAATAATACCAGTCAAACCAAGGCCTCCAGAAAGTCACAAAAGAGCCACAGACATTCCTTAATTCATTGTATGAGCCTCACATGTACCTGATCAAAATGACATAAGAAAAGTAAAGATGGGGCTGGCGGAGTGGCTCAAGTGGTAGAGTGCCTGCCTAGCAGGCGTGAGGCCCTGAGTTCAAATTCAAGTACAATAAAAAGTTCAGATAAATATTCCTTATAACTTAGACACAAAAAGACTAAACAAATGCCAGCAAATTAATCCAGCAAATCTTTTAAAAAGGAATATATATCATAACCACATGTGGCTCCCCAAGAATGCACAGTAAGTTTAACTTTTGAATATCAATCATTTTAATTTACCACATCAACAGAATAAAAGAGAAGAAACATGGGATGTTGGGAGCCAAAAGCCACAGTCTGACACGGTTGCTGTGGCTTTGCAGCATTCCGACAAGGTTGGAACCTGCAGGTGCACCATGTCTCTATCACAGTGGGAAGGAACGCTAAGTGGTTTCCCTTGACTGAAAAGAAGTTTATACTTAGTCAAGGACACTGGCAGTGACAATACAGGCTGGCAAAAATAGAAAGATTGTAACTAGGTCAGAGTGTTTTGATGTTTAAGTCTCTTCCTCCTTTGTATAAAGCTGGCTGAGAAAAATAAAATTTTGCCAGTTGGTCACCAGCCTGCTGGCCCTCTCGATAAGTGTTTTGTCATTCTCTTCCTGAGTGAGTGAGTCCCTTTGTGTCCTGTCTTGTTCATTCCTGCCCTGAGCCTTTTCAGGTCAAGGACCTCTGCGATCCCCGCAATGGGATCATAGTATTAGGTTTAGGAAAAGCATTTCACAAAATCAACACCTATTTATAATAAAACTAGTGGTAGAAAGGAATATTCCTGATCTGATAACAGGTATCTATAAAAATCTGCAGCTATAGGCTGGGCACAGTGGCTCACGCTATAATCCTAGCTACTCCAGAGGTGGAGATCAGGAGGATTGCAGTTCAAGGCCAGCCCAGGCAAAAAGTCAGTGAGACCCCAACTTAACCAATGGCTGGGGGCTCCTGTCATCCCAGCTGTAAAGTGAAGCACACAGAATACTAAGGCTCAGGTCAGCCAGGGCATAAAGTGAGACCCTATCTCAAAAAATGACCAATGCAAAAAGGGCTGAGGTCATGGCTCAAGTCGTAGAGTGCCTGCCACACAAGTGCAAGACCCTGAATTCAAACACCAGAACTGTCGAGAAAAAAACCCTGCAACTAACACAATACCTAAACGTGAAAGACTGGTTTAGCCCCAACATTAGAAGCCTAATGCCTAATCAGCATTGTCCTGACGCACAGAACGATGGAGAGAAAGAAAAGACACAAATACGAAAGAAGGAAGCAAAGCTTTTCATTAGTGAGCGGCACATATGCAGAAACGTCTAAGAAATCTGCACACGAGCTGCTAGGACTGATGAATGAGTATAGCAAGGCTGCACACGACAAGCCCAATATAAACCTGTTCAGAATCAACCAACTAAAAACATTGCTGAATTTGTTGTCCTTAATGCAGAGAAACTAAAGCAGATACCTTAAAGCAACTGAGGCCAATAGGAAAAGGGGACCAGGAACTAGAGAAAAGGTTAGATCAAAAAGAATTAACCTAGAAGGTAACACACACGCACAGGAAATCAATGTGAGTCAACTCCCTGTATAGCTATCCTTATCTCAACCAGCAAAACCCCTTGTTCCTTCCTATTATTGCTTATACTCTCTCTACAACAAAATTAGAAATAAGGACAAAATAGTTTCTGCTGGGTATTGAGGGGGTGGAGGGGAGAGGGAGGGGGCGGAGTGGGTGGTAAGGGAGGGGGTGGGGGCAGGGGGGAGAAATGAACCAAGCCTTGTATGCACATATGAATAATAAAAGAAAAATGAAAAAATAAATAAATAAATAAATAAAAATAAAAACATTGCTGAGAAGTTAAAGGTGTCAGTAATGAGTGATACCATGTTCATGGATTAAAATAATGTTACAAACTACCAACTGTCCCCAAATTGACCTGGAGGGTCCATAAATCTCATTCCAAATCCCAGAAGTCTTTATTTTTTGGGGGGGATTAACAATCTAATTCAAAAAGTTATAGTGAAATACAAAAGACCTAGAATAGTCAAGACAACTTAATAGAACAAAGTTGGAGGGCTGGTGAAGTGAGTGACTCAAGTGACAGATGCTGCCTAGCAGCTGAGAGGCCATGAGTTCAATCTCTGGCATAGTAAGAAAAAAAAATTTAAAAAGAACAAAGTTAGATTCTTACATTTGATTCCAAGATTTCCAATGAGTCTACAGCAATCAAGAAAATGGTAGCCGGCACCAATGGCTCACACCTTTAATCCTAGCTACTCAGGAGGCAGAGATCAGGAGGATTGCAGTTCGAAGCCAGCCTGAGAAAAATAGTTTATGAGACCCTATCTCAAAAAAACCCTTCCCCAAAAGTGGCTCACGGTGTAGGCCCTGAGTTCAATCCCAAGTACCACCAAAAAAAAAAGCAAAAAGGGCTGAGGTCATGGCTCAAGTATTAGAACACCTGCTTTGCAAACACCAAGCCCCACAAAAAAAAAAAAAAATACAATCAATTGATCAGTGGTACCAATGAGACATGGTTAAATGATTGGAGCAGAATAGCTCTGTAGTCCATGTGCATCCGTTCATTTTATTTTAGACACAATAATTTAGACAAAATAATTCAATGGGGAGAGAAATGGCACTGTAAAAAAATATATAAGCAAACAAACATCACCCTGCAAGCTACTTGGGAGGCTGAGACTGGGAGGATCATGGTTCAAGACAAAAAGTCCTCAAGACCCCATGTTGGCCAGTGAACTAAGTCTGGTGCCGTGGGGCATGCCTGTCACCCCGGTTATATGAGAAGCGTAAATAGGAGGATCACAGCCCAGGCATAAACGCGACGCCCTGTTGGGAAAATACCTAAAGGGCTGGCAGTGCGGTTCCAGTGTGTGAGCCCTTGCCTAGTGATTACCAAGCCCTGAATTCTCACCCCAGTACTTTTGGGGGGGTGGAGATTGAATTGGGACCTTGCTGTTCCACTACTCCACCCCCCAGTTTTGGAAATTTATAGGGCAAGGAATTGTTTAACAATCTCTTTAAATGATAGGTGTGGAATAAACAGGCTATGAATCAAATAATCCCTAGGGCTTATCAGGGGTGTTTTCTAGTCACAAGCATATGCACTTAGATATAAAAATAAAATATGCCAATTACTGAGGTGCTTTCAGCACGGCTGGGAAGGAGTTTCGGCTGCTGAGCAGGTGCCCAGCCCTGAGGGCTCTGCTACAATAGACTGTATGCTAGGACAAAGAGCAGGGTTTAAGCAGTTTGTCAGTAGTCACTGATTGTGCTTTTGTAATATGTATCGCATCAGAGAGAAATAAAATTTAGTTAAGCCGTCTCTTTTTTTGTTTTGGGGGGT